CATTATATTGTTATCGGGATGAGTTTCTTGTGATTGTCTGAAACTGCTGCCGTGGTAATGGAAGTTAGTGCGAAACGCCAAAGAAATCTAACTTCCTACAAACTTCCCTTCTTAAATATTTTATAAATAATGAAATAACTATTATATTATTCGCCCATCGCCAACGAAATAAGTTCTGTAAAACATTTTTTTTTTAAATTTAACTTGCGACTGTAAATATATTTAAATTTGAAACTGTAAATGGTCTTAATTGTGTTCAACGAAACGACGTAACAATCACGAACCCTCTTTGCTTCTTTATTAGATGATATAATTGTTATAATCACGTAAATAATAGCGTATAAAACAAGAATATTTTGTAATAAAATATTCTTATTTTGAATCTTAAAAACTGAATTATATAATTTAACTTTAAAGTTACATATAAAATTTACCACTTTTATTGTTTTTATATATACTAAATATATAATTAAAGCAGCAACTTTTATGTTCTTATATTATTTAATTAACAGTATTTAAATTAATTTGTTTTTTTATAATTGTTTTTAAAATGATTTCGTCGTAAGACTAGAATAATAAAATCTAGAACAGATCTAAAATTTATAGCCATAAATTTAAAAAAATAAAATAAAATTATATCATTCTTGAATATTCGTGATAACAATTTAGAATTCTTATATATCAATTCGAATTAATAACATATGCATATATGTGTGTGTGTCACGTGATATACAGACGCATATTTTCCTTGTGTTATATATTGTTACAACCATTTAATTGTGTGTGTAAATCATTTGTAAGCGTGTAATACGCGATTTAATAGCTAAATTAATTTTATATATGTAAATATTATATAAATATACATGTGTATTTGAATTTTGATAAATCCAACAGCTATATTAACTATATAAGCATTTCTATAATTGCTCACGAGCATTATATATAAATGAAACGTTTACGAGCTATTATTGATGCTTAAGCATAAAGCAAAATAAAAAAATCATTTAAAATTAATAATCTCCGATAGAACTGTAAATATAATTTGGCTCGATTTCGGTTAAAATCGATTAAAATTGATCATTCTAGTCGATCTTTTCCAAATAGACCAATATCATTGATATGGAAAGTAAACGAGATTCGGGATTTGGGGAATAACCCTATAACGAAGTAGGATGAGGTGTTGAAGTTGAGAAGATCTGCACGATATTTAGCAGTATTCGACTTCCTCTTTCCTTAATAGGAAATGATACTAAAATTATTTATACGTGAAAAATAAATATCATTATATATAAAACTTTATAGGAAAAAGAAGGAAGAAATTTAAATTGGCTAAATTTAAAATTTACCATTTTATTTTTGAATGTAAATCCTGTTTTCGTCAACTAATAAAAATTCTATCTTTTAAATAAACTTTAAAAATTTCTAAATTAAAAATATTTTTTATATTAAACAACAAGAAGAAATTTTCCTGATGTGTATAAAGTTAGACACTCGCTAATTTTATTTATAATAATAATCAAATTAAATTGATTTAGATAAATCAAAAATAATTGAATAATCGTATTAATGTAAAATTAATCCAGGGAGTCAATTTTTTAAAAGAAAATATAATTAATTAGTAAGTAAAATGAATATTTCACAGGTAATTAGAATCAAAACATTCCGTAATAAGTTAAAAGCTTATGAAAGTGTAATTGGTATAAAATAAAAATAGGTAAGAACAAAAAAAGAAAATTATTAAATTTCATTTTTTTGTATNTATTTTAAGCTTATTAAAATATATACAACAAGGAAAAATAAGAATTATATTAAAATATAATTTTATAATATTTACAGAAATTTAATTTTAGTACGCATCGCATTAACGAGAAGTGTAAGTAACTCGATTTTTAAAGAAAATCTCAAGTATATCATCTAGACTACTTTCCATACGAACAAACATAACTTAATCGGTTTCATTAGCTATAATGTATTTTGTTGGCAATGCATTCTTTTCTATACTCAGTGAAAGGGGATAGAAGAGTGAACGGGAACGTCCTTCACTCTTCTAAAACCAGGAAACGAAATTCAGAGCAGCGACTTTCATCCTACTCAATAGCAGTAATTTGATCTCATACTGACGGTGCAAGAACAGTAGCGAATATAAGGACGCTTCTGAAGTGAACTTCCACTCAGAAAGCACACAAATAAGATTACCGTGGAGAAAAGGGCCCGGGATTCTGAAGCGAAACATAAAATCGGTTGACACAAACAAGCACCATGGTTGAAGATAACAAAATAAACCGATAATTAAATGAAAGATTATTCGATTGCCATTTTGTAATGCATAATTCAGTAGATAAGTGAAAATTATTATTATATTTTTAATATTAAATGTTAACGGATGTAGAAAATTTTTTTAGTAATAATTGAAAAAAAGTTCTAAAAATAGATTGGTTAGGTAGAAATGGCAGCGCGTAGTTGAAAATAAGATAGAAAGTCGAGAGATGTAATTCGTTCACTCGATATGTTTTGTGAACATTTAAGATAAATCAGATATAATAGAGATTCTTCTAGGTGAATTTAAACAAGAGAAATGCAATTGCTGATCTGATTTTATTTGTGAAGATTATAAATAGGATTACATGAAGGGCGGTGATCTCATAGATATGGCTCTTTCCTTAGATTTATAGTTGGGAAGTAATCTCGGGAATATGTTTTGTCCAAAAAAGAAGTAAAATCGTTCAATCTCATTTACTAGAGTATTTTGTAAACTTTTTTCTAAATCTTTACTTTTCTCTTTCAATAAAAATCTTTTTAGTTATAATTCACTAGAAATTTCATTCTAATGATAGTTTAAATTTATACGAAACGATAATAAAACGTCGTTTTATTATTTAAAATTATAAAAAAAGGAAGCTTGATTAAGCCGAAACTGATAGATTTATACCTCTTTTTTTAAGTCATTATTTAGAGATATAAATTATGAAAAAATGCACATTTTTATACACTTAATCAGATAATTTATTATTTACAATATTACTTTTTTATCTAATGTCATTGTGAACTATTAGTAATTTTAATTAATTAAGAAGCTTACTTTCTCGGTACTTTCTGTGTAATTCATCGAATGGATGATGCAGAAGGTTGCACTGAGTGATTTTCTTTTGAAAGAGGATAGTTGTGTCTCTTCTCTCGAATTGCTTGTGTTATATTTCCACATATTAGCAGTAATGGAAATAAAATGGCTGACAGTGATTCTGAGATAAGTGCTTCTGTGATCTCGTTGGCACCTATCGCTCCTAAAGAAATCCCTAATGCTATACCACAAAAGTGATACATAATTCTGTATACGTTGCATTATCTAATATAAAGGATTTTAAATACTCGCTTTCTATCAATTAAATATTTCCGATAAATAAACATGAATTTTATAACTTTTACTAAACCATTTTATTTTTTCTTTTTAACCTTTCGAGAATCGAATATTGAAATTAAATATTTTAAATCCAATTCGTTTAGCTTCTTCTTCACAACTTTAATGTCGTGAATTGTTAATTTTCAAATCGCCTCGAGAGTTTTCAAAGTGTTATAAATTTTTCAAAAGTAAATTTATATATATATATAATTTTTTCCCTCATTCTACATTTTAATTTCGTGAATACGAAATTCTCTTCTTAATTTTAAATTCAAAATATAATTTTGTTACATTTATTTGAATAAATTCAAAGTTAAATTTTAATAATAAATTAATTTCTTAACATTATTACTATCCATAATTTGATATTTCTCTAATTATTAAAGATTTGTATGATTACTTAATAGAATATTCGTTATTTATTCATTTGAAACATTGATTATAGTTGTAGGATGTGCTTAAAAGTAAACAAATTAACGTATTCAATGAATTATCTTATCATTCATTTTAATGTCATATCCATACGTAAAGATATATTTATAAACAACGTAATCGTTTCATAACTTTAAAATATTTCTTATAATCAGAATTTCAAAACGTCAACGTCCATTACTTTCTACACTATTATTTTCCATTAAATATATTGCAATTAGCTCTATTGATATAGAAAAGAATTCTTTTGAGTATATTTTTAATTATATTTCTATGCAATAATTAATAATTTTAATGCGTTAAAAAAACTAAAATATGAAATAAATATTTTAATTTCGTCTATTGTAGAAAGTAAGTTATAAAAAATGTATGGGAAACACAAGTTTAACAAAAGGAAATTTTGTATATAAATATCTAAAAATGTTCTGAACCGGTCATTTATTCGATAGAAAAATAATTTCTTGGTACAATAACCTCTTTAGCTATCTGGAAGACATCCCACAAGTTGAATCAAGATAGTTCTTCAAAAGCGCATTAAAATGCAATGATGCTTCGGACAACTTTGTTTTTTGAGTCTAGATATTCCAACAGAACAACAAAAATCTTTCAGCTCCGAGGTTAATGTAAGACGAAACTTTAATGGGTTGTTTCGTCATCCCCAGCTGTAGACGGTATTTTAATGAATTTCCTCTTCGTAAGGTTTTTTCTTGTCTGTCTATGCGACCTCTTTTCTTTCTGGCTAATTAAATATCGTTGTTGTCAACAAAGCCACTAGTGGGGGCTCGGAGTTAGAACTAAACTGTCTGTTGTTGCACCCCCGTTGGTGGAAAACAACAGAGATGAGTCTACAGCATGGTCTAGAGGTATACCGACTGAGATACAAAACAACCACCATTATCGCTTGCTTTGTCATTTTTCATCTTGGTTAAAAAAAACTTTCAGTTTATACTTACATAATTTCCCTACAGTTTCCAAAATTATTCACTTAATAGCTTAATAACATGAGATATTCTAACATTAAATCAATTTAAACCTATTAAATTTCGTTAATTTATAAAATTTCTAAACCGAGATATATAATAAAAATCTAAATTACTCTTGAATTAATCGAGTTAACATTATGGTGAAGCAAAAATGTATCTAATTGTACGTGTTTCTTTATTTATTGCAGAGGACAGGAAATTATTTGTAGGAATGCTCAGTAAACAGCAAACAGAAGAAGACGTACGTCAATTGTTCCAACCCTATGGCTCGATAGAAGAATGTACGATTCTCAGAGGGCCTGAAGGACAGAGTAAAGGTATAGTTTGTGGTTTATATCAATCACGGAAAAGGTACGGTTGGTGGTTTTATATGACGCATCCACATAAAAGAATTTACTTTTATAAAGACCATCGTGCATTTATTAAATGCCGAATTTATTTTCGTTTTCTTTACGATAAAAATACCATAGAAAACAACAAACATAAATGGATTACACGGTAAAATTTAATTATTCGCTTCTTTGGATAAATCGGATTTAACATAATCTGATCGAGTTAGATTAAAGAAGTCACTTTGAATATTTTTCAATTCTCAGTTTTTAATTTTTAATGAATTTTCCTCATCAAAAATTTATAATTTAATATAATTTTACTGTATTAAATAAACGAGATTTTAATATGATAAATTATAATGATCAAGTTTATATCAAAATTAATATTTTATTAGAATTTTACTAAAAATAAATCTTATATAACAAATATTTTTTATTCATTAAGAAAATTAACGTGTTAATTAATTATTAATTGTGTTAGAAGATATATTATTGGCTTAATTTATATTATTTGGTTATTTTAGTTACAAGAAAACCCCTTCTAAAGAGATTTTCTTAGAAAGGTACTTATGCTAAACAGTAAAGAAGCTTTTACAGGGGCCCGTTTCTAATAATAGACAAAATGTTAAAAAACAACTCACTTAATTTTTAATTCTGAAATGTTAAATTTTTTAAAACATTTTATTAAAGTCATTTAAACATTTTTAATACGAAAAAGCTTATTTTAACATATTAAATAAGTACGGATCCCAAAAATAATTTATGAAAAAAAAAACATTTTTTACTAAGTTAATGTTGAAAAATTATTTAAGTTATTTAATTTTTAAGTTTTTAATGTGAATAAAATAAAATTTAATATTTGTACAGATTGTTCCCTTAGGGACGAATATATCTAAAATATATGTCACATTATTATTATTTTTTCCTTATCAGAAAAATGCTACTTTTATTCTGCTACATTTACTCCATGCCGTAATTACACGACAAAATATTAATAAAGTTTTAAAGCTTCTCGTTTTTTTCTTTTCATTCAAAATTCAAATATAAAAACGCTATTCAAGAGAACTTTTTAGATATTCCATTAGCTTTTAAAAAACGTTCCATTAGATTTTCATCGAAAAATTCGAGAATCAAATGGATTAAGAGCTGATAGCATTTGGTTAATATTTTACAAAATGAAATATATTAATATATATATATATATATTTCCCCCTCATCTTTATGAAAATTTAATTTTAAAACAAATGCCGATTTTGCAATTTCCCTGGAAGAATAAAATAGAAAAAATTCTTATATTCAACGAGTAGAATATAAAAATAGTTTCAAGGCGGTAGCGAAATTCAAATACTTTCAGATTGTCCAATTTCGATATGATAAAGTACCATATTTATCCACGGAAGCATCCATACAATCAGATTAATCTTCTCTATAACATTGAAATTGCCAAGAATTCCAATTTTCCGGAATTGTTTGATCATTTTGTCATTGTATATAAGAGAAATAAACATACCATAAGCTGATATTTTGGGAAATAAGAGAATCCGCTGTTTTATATACGATTGTAATCCATAGGAAAGCGCATAATACAAGAAAACGGTCGATGGAACGATTTCTTAATGCATAACGTGAACTGGTAAATATAAGATACCGGTAAGGCCAGAAGATAGTCATGCAATTTTGACATCTCACCATTCTTAATGTCGACAGCGTAGTTGTTGGAAGGTGGCTAATGGAACAACCATCGTTTTGCCATACGAAAAACGAACAGTTACAGTCTTATCCGATTACTGAAGAAACGTCGTCGTTTCAACGTCTCTTATCGGCTTATTGGCTTTTCTCTTTTCATCGTTTGGAAAAATCGAACTTTTTCCTCCTCTTTGTGGCATTTTTGGCTTTAATACATTTGTACCGTATTATCCTAACTCTGCACCCCAAAGTAAACACAACGAATATCGTTTCCATTAAACTCTTCTGGCATTCTAGTCAACGATGCCACTACCACTCCGAATGGTGATTATCTTGTTTGTCAAAAAATCAACAAATGGCTTTCGATTATCGAAAAAATAATATTACTGATAAAATAACATCTAGACCAATTTCTAAAAATACCATTTTCTTCTTCAATTTTCTTACATTTCCTTCAGAAAAAATATATATATATGTACAGTACAAAATATAAAGATTTAATTAAAGTTTATTACTGTTTTTACAGTTAAGCGTATTTAATAAAATCGCAATTAATATATATTTATCAGAATTGCTAAGTCGTTTAAATCTTTCGAGAGAATTTAATAACTTTTCGAGTATTAATAAGTTGATTATGAATAAGATTTTAGGGAAATTTATTCATTTCTGAATATTAAATCTTCGGGATTGTTATATTTTTAAAGAAAATTAATGAAGTGAGTTTCTAATTAGTTTTAATTAATTAAAAACGTGATACTTAATCCAAAATAATGCGTGATAATGAGATAAATCTTATAAAAATAGTAAGAATATACTCGTATTTTTATTAATATTACTGGAATTTTGATGAAAGGAAATTAGATATATCCATCTCTGAGATTAATTTTCTAATAATAGTCAGTGAAATTGGCCTCGAAATATTCAATCTTAATTATTATATAGACATATATATATTCATAGTTTCATTTATTGAATAGACAAGAGCTGTAGATTTATTTAACGTTATATTCCTAATTTCAGATACTCTATAAGCAAAATAATTGCTTCTTGTATACACGTTTAAATCTAATTAGATAAATAATTAGTTAACAAATTCGAGTATCAAATTGTATGTTTACTAATATTTAAATTTCTGATATTATCATATTATGCAGATAGTTTCATTAATTTTAAATAACTATAATTTAATTTAAAATAAATAATGTACGATATATATTTATATATATTAAATATTATGATCTACAGTTAATATTTAATTATTTATATTTATAATCTGTATTGCTGTTTAATATTCTGAGCTCAAATACGTAATAATAGTTTTTGATTTAGTTATTGTGTTTATTTTATATATACTTAAAGAGCGTATAATGTATAATATTAGTGCGTGCTGTTAAAATATATTAAGTTTAGTTATTTACAAGCTCACTAGATTATAAATTATCCATTGAAAAATACAGAAGCTTTATAAAGCGTTTATACAGTACATGTGGGAAGTATTGTGCATAAGAATCATGCCACATGTTTTACTTAATTCTAACGAATAAAAACGTTTAGATTACGATAATTTATATGTAAACTGTAATTTTAAGTTCGAATTATGTTTTTATTTAAAACACAAGTTAATACATATAAAAATATTTACAGTATTTAAACATATTATAAAAAGTTACATGTAAAAAGTTGCTGTAAAATCTACACGTAGAATAATAATACGTACACATATAATACTAATTCAATACATTAATATATAAATTATTAAAATTATCTTGCTTGAAAGATTAAAGGTAGACTTAAAATATTTTTTAAGATTAAAAGAAATGCTACAGTCATTTCTAGGAAGCGAGTAACGATAATGCTTTCATGCGTTATCATTATTCGCTTCCAGCGATTCGTTTTTGAAGTAGTTTACTAAAAATAAGCAAAAAAAAAGTTAAAAGAAATAATTTTTACTTAAGGGAAAACATATATAATAAGCTTTTCAAAACATATCAATGCTAATCTTCAATTCGGCTGATAATCCACTTGGTACTAATCGCCTTTTCTTCCTTGAAATCTTTCAACCATCAAATACCCAATAATGATATAAAACGGTCCACTTCACAAATATCATTCAATAGTTTCATATTTTGATAATTCGATCTTATAAACTGTGGAGTTAAACTTATCACTCAATATCTCGAATTTAACTTAATACCGTCGATACTCTTGCTAGAGTAACAATGATAGAAATTTTGCTGTGGCAAACATCCTCTACTCCTCCACCCCACTCCTGATCTCGGTCCAATGTTGCTGCTATTATTGCTGATTTGATGGTCGCGATGGGAATTGGATTTCGGAAACGGTATTCGCTAATTCAGCAGGTTATATGAAAGCCCACCAAACTCTTACCCTGTCCATTACGTTGGATGGGAGCTTGGGGACGCTCACAGATTGTTTCTACACTCCCTCATATCTTCCCTACAACTTTAGTATTATCTTATTGTCGCCTGTCACCTCCCCCATTTGTATTTTCTTTCTTTTCCTTTCGTTTTGGCACTTTCTAAATATATAACTTATTTAGTGTCAGCTACTAAGACATAAACAGAATGAAAAAAGCAATACCTAGAGGATTTATAAGTAGAAAAATGTCATTTTATATTTTCAATTTTTAAAAAATATTAATGATGTATAATAACGCTCAATTTATTATTTGCGAGGAAAAAAAATTAATCACGTTCTTTTATTTATTTATAAATTTAAAAAAATGTATTTAGAAAATAAATTTCTAATCTTATAAGCTTATAGATCGACTTTATTTTTGAAAGTTTATATTATAAATAATTAGAAATTATTTATTTAAAATATATTTAATACCAAGATTACGTTTTAGAATAATTGAATATTTTAATAAAATGAATTTATGTTTAAGTGCACACGAAAGATTATTCTTGGGTAATGAATGATGTTATCCTCTGCCTAATTAATTTATAATAGCTGTCTGAATATTAAAGGAAGGATGGGAGAAAAAAGGAATTTTTCCAAATAATCGTAATAGATATTTAGTATAAAAGTAATTATCAAATTAATGCTAAAAAATCAATTTTTGGAAACTCAATTTACGGTTTATGTTATTTTTCTATAAAAAGTCACATAATTAACTTGGTACGCACTTAAATTAACAACAAAAATTACTGTTTAAAAAGCCCGAAAGCTAAACACCAAGATGACAAATTTAACTTGCTAACATTCTCAATAAAAGTGAAAATTTCTAAACTAGCTGTCATTTGCAGGCTCTATTTGACACGAATTCTTCATAATTAAGTACAAGATTATTTATTATCTTTGTCGCCTCTTTAACAATAACCGAGTCAAAATCAATTGCTTATCATCCTTACAAAAGATGTACTTATTCGACCATATCAATATTTTTCCAATCTAGTAAAAATATTCGATTCATAAAAATCACCGTTATTATAATTATGTACGATGTTTCCCTTATATTTTAATATTAAAGTGGATATTAATCGCTACACCAAATTATATTACGTGAAATAAAGGTAAATCAATTAATATAACGTGTAAATAAACAGCTTTTATTAATGTTGCTCTATAGGAATGAAGTTTCATTTAGAGACTCGACAGTTATTCATTGTTGTTGTTCTGATGATGTTCTACATCAACTCTTCTTGATAAACGACCGTTACAAGATTCCTGGATTATTTATCGATAAAAATCCACCAGAATTCTTATCTACAACCCCTATTTAATTGTTAAATTATTTAGCTTTTGAGTTAAAAATAATACATTTTAAAAGAAAATTTAGTAAAAAATGTTTAATCTCAAACGGCGAAGCATTATCCTACGGGCAAAAAGGGCAAGTGCCCCAAACCAATCCTTTATAAGAAAATTCTCTCAAAGAAAAATATATGTTCTCAAACCCCTAATTCAAATTTTACTTGGTTCCTCGAAGCTGTAACACGCCACTTATCTTCAACATTTTAAATACTTATTAAAAACACGTTACAAAACTATTAAATTTTATATATAAAGTAAACATTCTTTTCCCAAATACAGCTTTTAAAAACATCGCAATAAAATTCTTAAAATTTATGTGCAGTCAAAGTAAGGAAAAACACACACACACACACACACACACACACAAAAACGGAAGTAAGTAAAAATTCTATGGTAAAAACGAAATAAACAACATTAACCAATCCGTATCTCTCTATCTTTTAGGCTGTGCATTCGTCAAGTTTAGCAGCCACGCCGAAGCTCAGGCAGCCATCAGCGCCCTCCATGGAAGCCAGACGATGCCGGTAAGTAGCCATCTATCTATTTCGTCGATACCAAAAAAAAAAAAAAAAAAACTAGAAAAAAAAAGTCCAAGCCTTTCTGCAAGATTGAACTCCTTTCCATCTCCCCCAGTCTCTGTCTCCCGTTCTCTTTCCTGAAGAGACGAACTGTCTGCTATTGACTGTTGCACTATGACGTAAAAAGTTCTTTTTTTTTGCCTCAACTTTTGTGTACTGTAATTTTTCTTTACTGATATAGAGAGTGCAAAGTTCCACAGGACGTCTGACTGATATTAGTCACTAACTAAATTGCTATTAAAGTGACTAATTTGGCAATATATATGATTTGTGATATTAGCTACTATTTTTGCCTCGTAACCATAAAATTACTTTATGAATTGGAAGATAATTTCGGTAAGAAAAATATATATTACCGAGATTAGTTCCATAATTCATGGATATTTTATTTATTCTTCTATATAAATAAGTACAAAAATATGAGAAATTATTAAATATTAATCATGTTTACTTTTTTTTCGTAGATTAAGGTATAAAAATTAATAATCTAAACGGTAAAATTAATTAATATTTAGCCGAAATATCTTTAAATTATTTTAATTAATGTAATTTAAAGTTATTTTAAAGAATTAAGTGAATAAAATTGTAATAATTTTTTTTCTGTTCTTTCTTTTTAAGTATTTATTTACGCATTTTAAATGAGAAAAGGAAGAAAGAGATAAAAATAATAATAAAAATAAGCAGGAAAAAAATTACACCTTAATTCAATCAAGTTAGAAAAGTTGGAATGTTGCTAGAAAAATTCACAATTGCCAAGTCTCATAAAATAAATGATTTTAGCAAAAACCGTTAATGAAAAAGTAAAAATCTGGCAAAGATACTAGCAAAGCTGGCCAAATATGTAAACGATTGAATTTCCCCAAAGGAGTAAGAAATTTGTTTGTTCTTAGCCCCAGAGATGAAATAATTAATTAAAATTTTCAGATAAAAGTGCGAAAAACCTAAAAAGAAGCTTATTAAGTTTTAGAAAGAAAGAAAAAAAAAAAATAAGAGCTGCGAATATCAAGGAGGAATTTTCAAGAAAAGAATGAGTTTCATCTCTTGGGAACCAGACTTTATAAAGAAAGGTCGATCAATTCCGAATAGATATAGTTAAATTGACGAAGATAAGAGGAATTTGAATGAAGACTGTTCTTTTGGGATATCAATAGAATTTAAACTAATTGCCGATAGGAGAAAGTTTGGTTTCTTATAACATTATCCCTCAAAGCTTATCAACAAAAGAGATCGTTCGGTGAATCACAAAATAATAACTTTTGGTAATACTTTTTTCCCTTTTGGCAAGAACGTCTTTGCAGCTAATGCATATTTATGAATCTGGAATGTTGACGTTATGTACACTGAAACATTCGATTTTTTCTTAATTACACCATATCAACTTCAAAGTATTTTTAAATGAAAGTCTCTTCTTTCCAAAAATGTTCTCCTTAATTAGCGCTAAAATAATTTAATCGAGTTTTCGATTTTTAAAATCAAAAGATTCTAAAGAAACAAACATAAAAAAATCTCTATATGGAAATCTGCCATTCATTAATCTTACTTGATGTTTCTTTATATTATATCTTTGCTTGTTTTTCTTTGATAATCGGGTTTGAATGGAATATCCATCTAGTAAAGAAGATTTTCTCTTACTTTTTTTTAGATTTCAGCACTTATAAATAGGCGGAGGTATAATATATTTAACACGCAAATCTACAAGAAGAAAAAGTTTAGGAGTGAAATTCCTTATTTAGGAAGATAATTTTGCTAATTTAATGAATTCGCCGATACAATTACAGTTTCAAATAACGTTATAAAGATTAGATTAAGCAACAAGATAATGTGCGAATTAAGGAATATTTAAAATCGATAACCTCCT